CCCCTGTCCAGGGGTAGGTTGCTGCCTGTTGCCCGAGACCCCTGCCAGGGGTAGGTTGCCGCCTGTTGCCCGAGACCCCAGTCCGCTGTGCGGTCATGGAGGGAGCCCAGCTGAGGCAGGACCCTCGTGACCAGACTCTACCTGGGACCCCCCCAAGTCTAGGGGGGAGATCGCCTGCCTGTTGCCTGAGACCCCCAGACCAGGGGTAGATTGCCGCCTGTTGCCCAAGACCCCTGCCCAGGGGTAGGTTGTCTGCCTGTTGCCTGAGACCCCTGCCCAGGGGTAGGTTGCACCTGTTACCTGAGACCCCAGTCCAGGGGTAGATTGCCACCTGTTGCCCGAGACCCCTGCCAGGGGTAGGTTGCCGCCTGTTGCCTGAGACCCCAGTCTGCTGTGCAGTCACGGAGGGAGCCCAGCTGAGGTGGGACCCTCGTGACCAGGCCCTGCCTGGGACCCCCCAAGCCTAGGGCGGAGATCGCCTGCCTGCTGCCCGAGACCCCAGTCCAGAGGTGGATTGCCTGCCTGCTGCCCAAGACCCCAGTCCAGGGGTGGATTGCCTGCCTGTCCCCGGAGACCTCAGCCTGGGGGGGAGATTGTTCGCCTGTTGCCAGAAGACCCCAGTCCAAAGAGAGGGGAAGACCGCACAAAGCCAGCCTGCCTGAGACCCCTCACCTATCCCGGACCTCCAACAGGTATCTGTGTCTTACTTTCTTATTCCTGGGGGACCAGACACCCTGTCGGATCCGTGGGTCCCCTGTTTTACCTGAACTGCTTCTGGGACGATCCCGTTTTACCCAAACTGTTCCTGTGATGACCCTTGACCCTTGTGGGATTACCATCCGCAACAGAGACTCTTCCTTTGCCCTTGGTGCTTACCAGTATCTTAGCCGCTCCTCGCTGTCACCCCCCCTATTGGCCAGACCACCCGTGCCGGGACTCGTCTCTAGTCTGCGCACAGATCACCCTTCCTGCCATTTCCCCATTGAGTGACTGTCATTTTGTTGTCTTAATAAAGCTTGGTGTGTTCCCCATCCTCTTTGTGTGTTCTGTCCTGCCTGCGTTTCCGTCACAACTACAAAAAATTGGCCACCAATATCCAGAGGGACCTCCCCCAAACCAACTTGGTCAACTCCCCCCTTTTTTCAGCTTTAGATTAAAAAAGACCTGACTAAGTGGCACACAGGCCACTTTTCATGGTACAGATTGTGTAGTGTTTTGCCATCTACCGGTAACTATAGTGATACACTGATGCCTGCAGGATATCCCTGCTTCTGTCAAGTCCCACCCTACCATAAGCACTTTATGGGCTATTTGTTGGAAACTTTTTTCAAGGGAGGACATTTCTCAACTACCTTCCATCCTCTTTAAAATTATTGGGAACCCTGGATCCCCATTTTCAGTTGTTAGTTCAAGACGGAGTCTATAGAGCTCATGCCTTTTTTCACAACCCAACAATGGCACACATTAATATGGTTAGCGATGGATTCCCTGATTTCCTACTACCAAATGACCTTGCCTTCATTTTATTATACCATAACATTATCACTGTGGAAACAACCTCATTACCCCTACCCCTGTTTGCCAATATAGGTACTTATAACAGATTTTGTAAAGCTTGGTTCTGTTGGATAGAGTTCTTTACTACACCACATTATGAAGCCTTTATGTGGATTGACTCTCAGCCATGACATTTAACTTTTTCTCTTCTACGAGAAGCATTTCATACAGTGCTAAACACAATTTTTCAGATCAGATCTGTGAAAACGCCCTGGAGGAGGGGCGAAACACGTTGGCGCATTTCCGGCTTTGCCACCCAACGTACCACCATAGTGTTCCCCTGGGCCATCTTGCTTTGGGTGATTCTTGAGCTGTCATCTGTTGCTGAATGTGAGATCTCAGAAATACCTTGGTGATGTGGTGTTTTGGCTCCATCTGAAATATAATAAATGCTGATTTCATTTTTTAGGAATGTGAGTGGTTTGGTACTTGGAAATTGATTCTGCCAGAGTATTGCAGTATTACACTATATATTTGTTTTTTCTCTGCATTATTCATAACTTTTCTTGGCGAGTGGTGTCTGTTGATCCTGGAGGTTGGAGACTGGTTATATTCCTGTCTGGAGTAGGGGAAATCCAAAATATCCGGTGATTGGAGGCTTATTGACTGGATCTAGGATCCCAAAAAAACCCTAAAAAGGAATTTTTTCACCAATATCTGGTGAGTGCGGTGTGTTATTTGAGCACTATTACTGTGTCAGCACGGGTCAAAGGCTCTTTGGAAAAGGACTTTTATGAATTTATTTTTATTTTTCACTTTATTGAATTGGACTGGGACTTATTATTTTTTTATTTTATTTTTTATATATATGTTTTATTATTTTATTTAATTTTTCACTGGAGTGTATATTCATCATATATTTTTAATTTATTAATGTATTTGTGCTGTTTAGATGTTTTATATAATTTTTTGATGTTTACACTAATGAGCAACAGCATTTATTTAACAATTAACTCATGGTCTTGGAGCTGGTGATTTTTTTGCATATAAAAAAGTAAACAGTGCCTTGTGTTGTAAAAATTAAATGCACTGCCCCCACTGCCCGTACAGAATGAATACACTTTTTTCCTGCATTTGAAAAATACAGGTCTCTGAATAGACACGCATAAAAAAATTGTCTTCTATGTGGAGTGGAGAAGTGCAGAAAAAGACCACATGTCTGCATTTTTTTCCACACTGCATCAGAGCTTTCCTGACATTTGTTCATGTGTTTTTACGTACAGCAACTGAGCTGCGGTGCATAGCAATTACTTAAATGTTACTTTGTGATGTTTTAATAAAGTAATAAAAAAGAAATAAACCGTGCCTTGTGTTGTAAAAATGTAATGCACCACTCCCCACTGCCTGTAAAGAATGGACATTAGACAGCACATGAAAATGGCTTGTTTTCCTATGTGGGCTAGTGTGAACATGCCTGCAAGTGCTGCTAATGCACCTTGTTCCTCCTGTTCCTCTTTTGCTAACTCCACCATAGCCCTGCAAACTGTCTGTAGCTCTACCCTCGCAGAAGCTGCGCTTTTTTTAGGTTTTCTGTTCTGAGCCTCGACTCCAAGAACAATCTCGGACCCCCCCCCCCCCCCCCCAGGAGGCAGGAGACAAAAAGAAGGGTTAGTTGTGGGTGTTCCCCAACTTGCAAAATATAGCATCAAACAAAATCACAAAGATATACAGCAGAAATGACCGTGGCACTAGGCTTAAATGTAGGAGCAACAAATTCTATAAACCTATAATTCCAGGCGCAAGAGGGGGAAGAGGAGACCCTTAGTGAGTCAGCTCCAGGGGCAGACGAACAACTCATGGGGCCCCCGGGCAATAGGGGATCATGGGGCCCCTGTGTCCTTTCCCAAACTCAAAAAAGCCTATGAAAAAGGTACCAGGGGCATCTCATGGCCGAGTTTCCAAATGGTCAGTCCGACACTGGTCAGCTCCCTCTACTTCCTGCTGCCACAGGCAATAAAGCACAATTTATTAAACCTTGGTGTCAGGGAAGATGAGGAATGCCCAGGTGCACATTAATGCTCCAATGCCGAATGCCCAACAGGCGTGCCCGTTTTTGTGCACCTGCACGTGTGCCCGCCCGCCACAGACTGGCACCAGGCAGGCTATATAAACCACACTGCACCATGAGTCTTTGCCTTTTGCTCTACTACGTCCTGTTATCTGCTGAATCCTGAACCTGTTGCTGATTTGACTTGTCTTGACCTCACACGAACTCCGCCTGAACTGACTTTGGCTTGCCTTTGGATTTCGTCTTTGCCTGCTCCCTTGATTATCTGACCATTGCTGACTCTTGGCCTGAAACTCAATTATCCGCCTGCCTGCTGTCTGTTTCCTGATTCACCCGCTAGTTCCTGACCCGGCTTGCCTGACCCTGCTATCTGTCCAGTCTGTGGCCGTCATATGCTTCTGCTTCCCTGCATCCTCAGCCAGCCTGCATCCTGGTTATACAGACTACTCACCTGCAAGCTGACATCACAGACCTGCAAGGCACTTGTGCCACTCCTGACTGTCGTGCCTCCTGTCTGCTTTACCAGGAGTACGAGTGGGAGGTGTAACAGAACGCCTTTATCTCCACGGCACTGGCACTGGGTAGGAGTTCCCCCTTAACCTCTTAAGGACCACCCTATAGCATAAATACTGCTACAGAGCTGCACGGGTGCACAAAATCACGTGTATATATATACGTAATTTTGCATTTCTGGATAGGGGCGCGTGCACACTACCCTCGCAGCCATTCGCGGCTGCCGATGTCAATCAGAATTTACCCGCCGGTGCCCGGTGATTACCGACAATCACCAACAGGGAGTGTCAGGAATGGACTTGCCAATAGTGGTGGGACTCACCTGCCTTGTGGACCAGGGCTGCCCAGCGGGTGCTCTCAACAACCAGAGGTTCACTTTGGCAATTAGCCATCACCTGGGGTTGATTGCAGGTGGTGTATTTAAGGGATGGCCAGACCTGCAGTCTGTGCCTTGGTGTGTGTTTTTCCATAGGCCCCTGTACCTTGTAAACCTGCATTCCTGTTCCTGCCTGACTTGTTGCCGACCCTGCCTGATCCTGACCTCTGCTGACTTCTCCTGTTTGATCCCTGGCTTGTGACCCTGACCATTCTCTCCGCCTGCTCCTCCTGTACCTACCTGCCCAATAGTTATCGACCCGGCCTGCCTGACTACGTTGTGCTCTATATGTGTATGTACCTGTGTATCTTTATCAGTTTAGGTTTGGGTTTGTTTTACCTTGTTGTATGTATTTGTGTTAGCTTGGGGTTTGGTGCACTGCGTTTATATTTGTATTGTTAGTCTTAATAAATTGTTTTATTTATACCATATCTGAAGCCTGCGTTTCCCTGTGTCAGTACGCACATCTCTGGTCACACCCGCATCCCTGACAGGGAGGAAGACTGTAAAAAAAAACAGTCTTCCTCCCTGTAAGTTCAGACACATTGCTCGGGATGGCTGCGCACAGTTCAGCCATTCCGATTAGTGTGCTTACAGTACAGCACACACCCCCTGCCCCCTAGTAAAACACTCCCTGCACTTAGTTAACCCATTAATCGCCCCTCATATTAACCCCTTCCTGTCCAGTGCCATTAGTACAGTGTCAGTGCTTTTTTTATTAGCACTGATCACTGTATTGGTGTCACTGGGGATGTCAGTGACACCAAGTTAGATCGCCACTATTACTAGTAAAAAAAAATCCCAGTATCTATACCACCATTTGTAAACGCTATAACTTTCACGTAAACCAATTAATTTACACGTACTGGGATTTTCTTTAGTAAAGACATGTCACAGAATACATTTTGGCCTAAATTTATGCCGAAATTAGATTTTTAAATTTTTTTTACTGCAAATGTTTAATAGCAAAAAGTCCAAAATATTGTTTTTTTCCCAAAATTGGCTGTCTTTTTTTGCTTATAGCGCAAAAAATAAAAAATACACAGGTGATCAAATACCAATGAAAGAAAGCTCAATTCGTGGGAAAAAAAGAACATTAATTTTATTTGGATGCAGCGTTGCATGACCGTGCAATTGTCAGTTAAAGTAACGCAGCACCGTAACGCAAACAATGGCCTGGTTAGGAAGGGGGGTAAATCCTCAGAAGGGCAAATGGTTAAAGTAACAAGTGCTACATCAGCAATAGTAAGAAAAAAAAATCATCGACAATCTCTATAAATTAAATCCTCTGAATGGAGAAATCCTGGAAGTAAACATGTCCTTGGTCTTCAGCTAGCTTATGATGGGCCCAAAGGTATCACTTTGCAATGACAATGAGCAAAGTGAATGAAATAGCAAAAGGGATTTTCCAACAAAGCCTTCAAGTTGGTAAAGGTGGGTGTGACGATCGCAGTGCCCAACCCTGCCCTTCTCACCAACTCATGACAAAGGACCAGCCAATGTCACACTGTGCTGTCACTTGCATAATAATGCCACTCTCAGGTGCACCCTGCACAAAGAATTTCCAGCTCAGGGGACCACAATCTATGTGCCAGCAGCCTGAGAGCGATTGCCGCTGGGTTAGGTTAATCATGCAATTAACCCTTCAAACTCCAAACTGCCACCGGATAGCTTTGGGCCTATCAACCCTTCACAATGTTAGCAAGAACAGATGTGAACAATAAACGTTTGTAAAACACACTGTCACCACAGACAAGTATATTCAGAGGATTATTATATACAGTTAGTAGTACTCTTCAATTCTCTAGTTTGCATTAAAAGCTTTAGAGACATAGTTACATAGTTAGTTCGGCTGAAAAAAGACAAAAGTCTATCCAGTTCAACCATCAAAAAAAAAAAGTTATACTCCTATACCCACATTTGATCCAGAGGAAGGCAAAAAAAACCCAGCAAAGCATGATGTAATTTGCTCCTGCAGTGGAAAAAAATCCTTCCTGATCCCCCGAGAGGCAATCGGATATTCCCTGGATCAACTTTACCTATAAATGTTAGTAACCAGTTATATTCTGTGTATCTAAGAAAGAATCCAGGCCTTTTTTGAAGCAATCCACTGAGCTGGCCAGAACCAACTCTTGAGGGAGTCTATTCCACATTTTCACAGCTCTCACTGTGAAGAAACCTTTCCGTGTTTGGAGATTAAATTTCTTTTCCTCCAGACTTAAAGAGTGCCCCCTTGTCCTCTGTGATGACCTCAGGGTGACTAACTCTACACCAAGTTCACAATATGAACCACTGATGTATTTATACTTGTTGATCATATCCCCCTTTAATCTCCTCTTCTCAAGAGAGAATAAATTCAGTTCCTCTAATCTTTCCTCATAGCTGAGCTCCTCCATACCTCGCATCAGTTTGGTTGCCCTTCTCTGTACTTTCTCCAGTTCCTCAATGTTCTTTTTTGTAATTTGATGCCCAAAACTGAACTGCATATTCCAGATGAGGTCTTACTAATGATTTGTACAGGGGTAAAATGATCTCTCTCTCTGGAGTCTATACCTCTTTTAATACAAGAGAGGATTTTGCTCACTTTAGAAACCGCAGCTTGGCATTGCATGCCATTATTAAGCTTGTGATCTACCAGAACTCCCAGATCCTTCTCCACCATTGATTCCCCCAGTTGTACCCCCCTAGTAGGTATGATGCATATTCTTAGCCCCCAAGTGCATAACCTTACATTTATCAACATTAAACCTCATTTGCGACATAGTTGCCCAATTAAACAGTGCATTGAGGTCGGCTTGTAAATTGAAGACATCCTGTAAGGACGTTATTCCACTGCACAGCGTGGTGTCATCTGCAAAGACTGAAATGGGATTTTTAATCCCAGACCCTGTATCATTTATGAATATATTAAAAAGTAAGGGTCCCAACACTGAATCTTGAGGTACACCACTGATGACCCTAGATCATTCAGAGTATGAATCATTAACCACTACTCTCTGAATACGATCTTTTAGCCAGTTTTCTATGATTTACATATGGATTTTTCCAAGTCTGTAGACTTTACCTTACACATTAGCCGTTTGCGGGGAACTGTGTCAAACGCTTTTGCAAATTCCAAGTATACCACGTCCACCGCCACCCCTCTGTCCAAGGTTTTGCTCACCTCCTCTAAAAAGAAATCAGATTTGTTTGACAACTTTTTTCATGAATCCATGCTGTCTGTTGCTTAAAATATTTTTTTCCAGCAAGAACTCATCTATGTGGTCTTTTATTAAGCTCTCCAGTATCTTTCCAACTATAGAAATTAAACTAACAGGTCTATAATTATTTGGTAAAGATTTTAACTGCTTTTTAAATGTTGGCACCACATTATGGACAAGAGCTCCCCCATGCTCCTTTGTATACACAGAGCTGAAAAAGGTATTTAATAAATTTGCCTTCTCTTTGTCCCCAGTCACCCACTCTAGATTATTTTGCAAAGGGCCTATATGCTCGGACCGGACCTTTTTACTATTAATATATTTGAAAAATTTTTGGGCCTTGTCCTGCTATCTTTTGCAATTTGTTGTTCGTTTTCAATTTTTGCGGCCTTTATTTTTGCATATTCTGTTATCTTCTTTATAATGTTTAAACGATGATAGCTTTCCTTCATTTTTATATTTAATAAAAGCTCTTTTCAACACTTTTCAAAATAGGGTTTATTACTAAAATGGTCAAAATGGTGCAATTACAATATTTACAGAAAGGGATGTTAGAAAGACATAAAGAGAACAATAAAGCAACAGAGAAATAAAAGAAAGGAGTTAAGAAGGCAGAATACTTGCAAAGTCCTGGTTTTAGCAGAGTCCAATTGTCCAAGCAAAAACATTGCCTTGGCTCTCAAGTCCGTTAAGATCTTCCTTGGTTGATGTTAAATGAGAGCTTGTTTACTAGTTCCGGTCAGTCCCTTTTCTTGATTTGTTCGGTATGATATTCCCTATTCAAATATATACCTAATATTAATGTGCCCTTTTCATCTGGAATAGATGTTTTATGGCACGCTCTGCACTCCTAGAGCTCTAATAGCCTTACAGGTCATGTGTGACTGCTTGACTGAGTTATTATTGTTTTACGATAGGGCAGAGGAAAGTGTTTTCCATGGTTCGTGGAAACTGACATCCTGCCAAGACTAATTAGCTGTTTACAGCCCTAGACAGGTCTGCACAGCTGGGTCTATTTGCGTTTTAATTACGATAAGAGGTTTTTTTTAAGTTTGTTAAAAGTTACAGCTGCAAATTCCAGTTTTTAGGAACGAGGAGGAGGAGAGGAAGATTATTGCTCATGAAAAACAAAAATGGCTGTCGTGTACAGGTTCCATGTCCCTATTGTGCACACTCATTACAGGGGGGAATAAAGGTGTCTGCATGCAGTATCTATACCTTGTTAGGGATAATGCTGGACTTGCACCTGCTCAGCAGACCCCTAGGAGATAACACAACCAAAATCTGCTGTGGAGGGTTAGGCTCCTGGCAGAGTAGCATGGCTCCGGACTGCCTCCTGACAACTGATCAAGACAGTAAGCAGTGATGCCTGCAAAGTGCTCCGCAGCGGCCAACCCAATTCCTGGAGATCACTGCAGTCCCTGGAATGTTGAATGTCACCCTGTAATGCTGAGTGATGCTGGATTGCTGAGCAGATTTACTGTGCTGGACAGCAGAGTCACAACTTGGTCTTGAAAGGGCAAAAGACACGCTCTCATCTGTCAGCCCCCAAGACCCCTGCCAAGAGAGTAAGCATGACTGCTGCTGGAGGAATTTATCTGCCTCCCCAGGATGTCCTTCAGTTTTCCTCTCTTCTGGTAAACATAGTCCTGACAAAAGCTGAAAAATACAGTGTATTTAGTCAATGAGACTACAGGTCCCAAGATCCTCTGCTTCTCTGACACACTTCCCACTCTGGCAGCAAGAAATTATATGTTTACTCTGCACTGAACACTAGAGGGGAAAAAAGGGAATCTCAGTCTGTGCAGCAGATGACTCTGAATTGCAGAATGAACCTGGCTACATGTCTACGAGGAGTCAGCAGAATTACAGGCCACTGCTATCCCCTGGAATAGCGTTGGGCCCAAGGTGTAAGAGACTTGAATTGGAAAGCATTTCCTCCCAAGCTGGCCCAAGTTCTGCCCTGCACTTTCAACACTTTACTGAAAAAAGAATTGTACTGAGTACTTTAGTGCCATAAACGCAAACCCTTAGAGTCCACCCATCTTCCCAAACCCTCTTTCATGAGTCTGCAGTATTGCGTCCTGACATGGAGTATTGTCCCAGGTATAGACCCAGAAGGCCTATCACTCTTCAGGATACAGTCCTACATGCTGTAAGTCGAGGTAGACAATTCCCATCCACCTTCTGCTTAGGGCCCCACCCACATCTGTATATAATAGGGCACAGTACTGCATCTACCAACATCACCAGGGGAGTGGTATTTCTCGAAGGCCACAGCCACCTGCTTTTACCTTTCCCCTGGTAAACACTGTCACATTCCTGTTCCTGTGGGTACCAAACAATTTGAAAAGAATGGCTGGATTACACAATCAACATAACAATGCATGGCAATAATAGATGCAATAAAACAAAAATATATAAACAGTATGTCTGGAAGACACTTGAACTGGTTGTAAATAGAGGAACAGTATACAAAAATCAACAGTCAACTGTCACGACGGAGCAATAAATAACAGTTACGTGTAACAGTAATCTTAGCCTGTACACTCCTTGAGAGCAGGGACAGATGTGAATGTGCAATAAATATGTAAAGCGTGTAAATTGATGGTGCTATATAAGTACCTGTAATGAAAAAATGCATAAACAGTTAGGATCTGGGTAATTCTGCCACTCCCCGTCTAAGGAAGCTGTCTATGTACATAATGTTGGATGTCCTGGCCAAGACAATATTACCTTCTCCATATGGACATGATGTCCATAATTCCACTCTAAATAGCAACAGAGGAAATCCTTGGTGATCAGTGAATTTTCCTCAAGTGACTGTTGTGACTTAGGTACTTGTAAATCTTCTGGCACTCAGATTCCAGAAGATTACACAAAGCCTCGGGGACATAAGGATATTCTAGGTCACATAGTTCTCAGACATACTGCACCAAATACCATTGGAGTCAGGATAGCCAGTTCAATCGTCACCCGCGACAAGAAGGAAAATAGGGAGCCGGCCACTGCACCAAGGTCTCTACATCACCCAGCTCCTCTCCTTCTTCCATGTCCTTTACAGTTGTGAAAGAACACCATTCCACCCAAGGATTTGGAACTTCCTGGAACCAGGGGTTCTTCTTAGTACCTGCACACACTGGGGCACCCCATAACACAGCAGACCAATCCCCCACAGCTACCACAACCGTTGGCAACTCTTCCAGCTCCGGAAGCAGAGGGTCCATAAGTTATTGAAGGACTGCCACAGGCTGTTGCCTGATTGCCTTAACCTCCATCTATATCAGTACCCAACTCACTGGTGATCTCAATAGTGGACAGCTGCTCCATAGTTGGCATCACTGCTGCTGTCTCCCAGCTGTCGCCTTCGGGCTCTCGATGGATAGGCTTAACTCCACTGACCTTGGGAAAACCTGGTGCCATCTCCCCTCCACATAAGGCACCAAGTCAGGAGAGCCCAGGTGTACCAACTTTTTTTTTTTTTAAGTCCGCAAACGTGCAACTATAACGAAAAAACCCGTAAGTGTTCACAAAAAAAGTGCAAGTGCAAAACACCATACGAAAAAGTGCACTTAGGGGTGTGCTGTGTCCTACCCCTAAAGGGGCTTGGACCGCTTACCCTGATCCCCCGGGGCACGAAGCTCCTGACGGGGACAAGGTTCCCAATTGGTCCTCCTGGCCAAAAGGCCTGGTGGACCACCGTTCCCTATGCCCAGCCGAAGCCGGACATCCAGTACTAGGCAAGGGGACTCTCCCGAAGAAGAGTCCCCTAGGGATCAGGGGAGGAAGGAACCGTATGGCCACACATCCTCCCCCTAGACTTCAGGGTAGGCCCGAGGACCCACACCCTCCATCCGTGAAAAACACACACATAAGAGCAAAAAAGTGACAAACGTGGGAAGTGCATAATAAATAAAGAGAAAGAAAAAATAAAAAAGTGGTACCGTGCCGAATTGTGCACAGACCAGGCCCTGAGGCCCGTAGCAAAAATTGCCCTGGACTTAGCCAAAAGGCCTGGTCCTTAGGGCGCTGTGCAAAAAGATGTGTAAAAACAGTGGCCAAGTGTCATCAGGTGTACCAACTATGATTGCTGCAAGGGATCACTTGAACCACTGACCGTCAAGTACCTTTTCTTCAAACCAGGGTACACTTTCTCTCACAAGGAGTAGCTCATAGAGGAAGGCCCAAAAGTTACCACAATGGTCCCAAGGCACCTTCTTTGCTGTCAGCTCTCCACTTTCAGGACAGATAGACACCAGTAACTAATTTACTCCTGTTCAGCATATAGTGAATTCCTTTCGTGGTGTGACATGCAGCCTGACATACAAAGACACTTCTTTGTAATGCAAGGAGGGGAACCAAGGCTTAGTAACTCGTACAGCTTCATATCTCCCTTCATCCATGGCTAGTTGGCTGCATGTGCCCAGGGGGGGGGAAATGTCAACTCACAAGCATGTGTCGCGAAACACAGAATGAAGTTCCTTCTTCCTTTACTCTGTCACCTTGCACCGCTTCAACCGGGGAGGCTGACACATCTTCACAAACAGTAACATATTCTAACTGCAGACTCCACCAAGTGTAAGGGACCTGGAGTGGACACAGTGTTTCCCTCCAAACTTGCCCAGGTCCTGCCCTGCTTCTTTTCTAGATAGGATATGCACAAACCTATCTCTTGGAGAAACTCCACCATATTGTGCCACAAATACACCAGGTTTGAGCCCCTCTTCACATTACTCACATATTCCTGACCAGAGGTCCACCTTATGAATAAAGAATGTCTACTCAAGATGGAGTTTCAACTCATTACTGGAATAAGAACTGGGCACTGAAGAGACCCTGCACGTTTCATTAAAGATTACCTGTCACCAAAAAATCATTATATAGGGGACTTTTTGTCCCCCTATTTGACGAAAAAAATTGCAAAAAAAGTTACACCCAAGCATTTAAAATCCCCTCCAAAAAATGTTGAGGCCCCACACCCCACATATACGCGCATACAAATTTAAATGTACACATCTGGGGATGCCTATGCATGAAAATGTTGATTGCGATACACATGTTGCATATCGCCACAAATGTCAGAGTGAAAGCAATAATTCTAGCACAAGACTTCCTATGTAACGCTAAACTGATGACTTATAGGGGGCTATTGAAGCGTTGCCTATTGAAAAGATAAGATACTGAAGCTTCGCTATTTCACAGGCACATGCAAATTTAAGGTTTAAAATTTGCAAACTCGTGCCTTTTAAATTTTACAAAACCAGGCCCTTGCCCGTAGCAAATTCAATTGCCCTGACATTTGCAATATTGTGTGACATAAAATATTGGAATACTATTTTAAGGGTGTCTGCTTTCAGAAAATATATGTTTGGGATTTTTTGTAATCTTCAGGCCTAAAATTATTTTTTAAAATGTGTGCAAAGAACGCAAAAGGAGCTCTGGCAGAAATGTTAACAGTTTACATAGACTTTAAGGGTACAGCTAGCACCTTCATGCCCTACACTAATCTCCTGCTATGCACTTTAGCAGCAGCACTCCAATGCTCTAATTCATAAAGTGTTTACAATGGTACTTGAATATGACACACATATAGTGTATGTAATATATATGTGAGTACTGTTACAATTAGAAGACACCTATGTGAAGCCAAGCTATCTGCAAGAAGTCCCCGCAAAGTCCCACTGCTGAAAAAAAAGACATGTGCTGAAGAGGTTACAATTTGCCAAAGAGCAAATTCACTTCACTGTCTTCACATTGTACTGTGGCTTGAATTCAGTGTTTGGGGGTTGTCTGACAAACTGTCTCCAGTCTCTAGACCCAAAAAAAACAATCTTACTTTCATCAGTTCACAAAATGTTGCGCCATTTCTCTTTAGGCCAGTCAATGTGCTCTTTGGCAAATTGTAACCTCTTCAGCACATGTCTTTTTTTCAGCAGTGGGACTTTGCGGGGGCTTCTTGCAGATAGCTTGGCTTCACATAGGCGTCTTCTAATTGTAACAGTACTCACAGGTAACTTTAGACCTTCTTTGATCTTCCAGGAGCTGATTGTTGGCTGAGTCCTTGCCATTTTGGCTATTCTTCTATCCATTTGAATGGTAGTTTTTCGCTTTCTTCCACGTCTTTCAGGGTTTGGTTGCCATTTTAAAGCATTTGCGATCATTTTAGCTGAGCATCCTATCATTTTCTGCACTTCTTTACATGTTTTCCCCTCTTCTATCAACTTTTTAATCAAGGTACGCTGTTCTTCTGAACAATGTCTGGAACGACCCATTTTCCTCAGATAGAAATGCACTGTAACCAGCATGTACAATATTTGCTGCCTTCCTTCCTTAAATAAGGGCAATAATTGCCACCTGTTTTTCAAAGAATGAATGACCTCACTAATAGAACTCCACACTGCTATTATTTTGAACATGCCCCTTTCAATTAGTGATTCAATTACACAGAATCAGCAGCATGCATGTCATGACTGTTGGGTCTGTTGGATTTCTATTACTCTACTACACCTGCTAGTAATTTATTTGCCATGTAGAAATATAATTTCTACCAAAAACAGTGATTGATAAAGTTAGTGATGTCTGACTGCTATTATTTTGAACACAACTGTATATACTCACAAATACAAACACATTCACAAATTGTCATCAGAACTACATAATCAATACCATCCAATCCTGGGTGAAAATTCCCCTCTCAGTACCAGCAACACAACAAAAGTCTCCCCAGATCTAAAATCCATATCTAGTAAGGAGCAGGGGCAGACTGGCAACTCATGGGGCCCCCGGGCAATAGGGGATCATGGGGTCCGTGTCCTCGCTCACACTCAAACCACACCCAAAAAAGCCTATAAAAGGTACCAGGGGCATTTCATGGGGCCCCCTACTGACCCCAGGCCCTCGGGCAGTGTTCGAGTGCTGGAATGGTCAGTCCGCCCCTGGTAAGGAGATTAAGCCCTGGTTCACACCAGTTTGTCTTGTTGTGCGACTTGAGTGTTCAAAGTCCATTACACCCCATTAACGGCAATGGAACCATTCATATTGGTGCGACTTCAGTTGCAGCAACTTTGAAAAAGATTCCTGCACTATTTTTGTATGATTTCATTGCAATTTGCATTGTCATCTGTTAATTGAAGTTGCACAGAGTGTCAACAAGCCACAATGCAGTCACAGTAAATAGTCAGCTTTGAAGTTGCACGAAGTAGCACAAACTGAAAGCTGCACTGGTGTGAACCATGGCAAACGGTCAATTAAGATAGAGTGGTATAGCTGGAGAATGCAGCAGACCCTGAATCTGCTACAGAAATAAAAATATCAGTGTTTTATGAATGAGTTTTTTTTTTTAAAAAACAGTAAAGCGTGAGATGAACTAATTACGAGAAACTATAAAATTTAGTGATATACAGGTACAGCAAATCTAACTACAGCCAATAAAGTTGCACAGTTGACTTTCTTGGCAGTTTACATTTCTATCCTGCAGAGGGCCACATTGTACTACAAACTGTTTTACTACATGAAAAAGGACCAGTGTGGATGGATTGCCATCTGGAGCATTATACTGAATACCATTTCTTTTTCTGAAATTACTTTTTTTGTAACCATTCCCATGGTAATTTTTGCAAAACAGGCTAAACTCAACCTTGTTATTTTATATCAAAAACATCAGATGTATTTATATGCGGTATATGCTGACCAAATTTTATGTATACCGATTTCTTTACTTTTAACTTGATTTATGTGAAATCTTAGATATAACTATAATAAAAAAGAATAACGGCTATATTCTTGTAAACAGTTTTATTTAACAATCCTTATTTCAGTTATTTGAGTATACATGTTCTGTTTTGATGTTCTCTATTTATTAACAACCCCTGTAATTAAGACTATTACTACAGTATATGTAAACTGTTGGACTTGTTAAGCCTTATGAAAATAATGTATATAGGAATTAAGGTATATATGAAATAGGTGTGCTTTCTCTTTAAATTAATTACAAATGATTACAATGATTAAAATCAGTGTAATAAACAAAACGCTTCACAACTTGATTTCAGTGCAACTACAATAATAAAAAGTGCATATCCCTTTAAATTTAAGTTAAATACTTAGTATCCGCAATCATATAAAGTGCCTAAACTCCTTACCAAATGGTCAGGATAGATAGGATCTCCAATTTATAACAGATCTACAGCAAATAAAAGTCGATCAACTTCACAAGCCACAAACAGCAGAGATTGTCCGCAATCATCAAGGGTAACTACCAGAGCTCACAAATATGGAGAGAGCATAAGGACAATCCATATGATATTTTTTTTTTTTTTTTAATTTAAATATTTATTAGTTTTTCATATTATTACAAAAATTCCATAAGAAGAGACACAAAACATATAAATGATCAATACACTTCTACTTTGCCCCCTTCTAATTACCTCTTTTCTTTCCCTCCCCTCCCAACCCACCTCTACCCCCCCACCCCCTCCCTCCCCTCTGCAAGATCTCCAATCTCTCAAGACCCAATAACTTTAAATAATTTCCTAGTTTAAAATTTTCTATATTTCTCTTTCATTCCTGATTTTTCCCATTTTTCCCATCGCGAATAGTATATTTCCAACCTGTCTTCCTGCATATAGTATGATTTTTCCATTCTGCTAATCTGGTTTACCCTATTAATCCAATCCTCCTCCATCGGCACCTCTGTCTTCCGCCGAAACTTAGGTATCAACCCTTTTGCAGCACTTAAGTAGTACCATACGCCTGATTCTTTATATTTATTTACTGTTGTCTCAACATTATGTAGGAGACACATGGTTGGGTCTGACCCTATGTCATTTCCAGTTATTATTTCTATTAATTTAACTACTGTCTTCCAGAAAACCTGAATTTTTGGACATTGCCACCATATGTGGAACACCGTGCCCTCCTCCCCACATCCTCTCCAACACGTTTTTGAATTCTCCCCACTCATCTTGTGCTCAGTGCTCGGTGTAATATGCCATCGTGTCAGACATTTATAGTTAATCTCAACGTCTCTCATACTAACACTCTCGTGTACCAATCTAAATATCTTATTCTGTTGATCCTCATCTATCACCACCTCCATATCTCTTTCCCAATTTGTTATAAAAATTAACTTTGTGTCCGTGTCTAATTCTGTGAGGATCCTATAAATTTTTGTAACACCGTGTTTCCCATCCCTACGTGTTTCTAATAGCCTTTCAAACAAATTCCACTCCTTTTTTAATCTCAAGGGTTTTGGGAGATTTCCAATGAAACATTTTAATTGGTGATATTTCCACTCATCTATTCTATTAAACATATCCCCCCCCCCCTCTCTTTTTAATTCTTTAAATGTTCTCAATTCCCCCTCTACCAATACATCTCTCAATTGGATATCTTCTTTTTTAAACCATCTCCCTGATATCTCATCCTTTCCTGGAGGAAAAAACTCCATGTTTGCAAGTGGCATTAATATAGAGTTGAATTCCCATTTCATGTGTTTATGTAAATTATCCCATGTCCTTAAAACATTTAAAGTGAAAGTGCTTGTGTTTTCTTTAATTCTTCTATATTGTGCTGGGACCCATATCATCTTACTCAAACTAATTCCACTCAGTTCGTTTTATATTTTTACCCAACTTTTTCCCTTATGGTTAAATGTTCAGTCATATATTCTCGCTAAAATTACTGCTTTATAATATCTCTTGACATCAGGTAGTCCCATTCCCCCTTTCTCTTTAGTCCTACTTAATGTTTCGTATGATATTCTTGGTTTTTTATTCCTCCATATATATCTTGTTAACATTCTTCTCATTATCTTAAAAAACGCCTCTGGGAGTTTAATTGGGACCATTTGAAATCTATAGAGTATTTTAGGTATAATTACCATTTTAACTAGGTTTATACGTCCTAACCATGATGGATTTCCTCCTTCTAATCTTTTTAATTCATCCTTAGTCTCGTTTATCAAAGAAATATAGTTTAATCTATACAGTTGTTTATATGAAGTAGCCAGTTTTATTCCTAGGTATTTTATATCTTTTTCTCTCCATATAAAGGGGAATTCTTTTTGTAACTTTTCTTTTTCGCTCTTTGGTATATTGATGTTCAGAATCTCTGTTTTTGTTGGGTTAATTTTTAGATTTGATAGTTCACCATACTCCTTCAGGGTCTTCATTATACTTGGTAATGTTATTCGGGGGTTGCCTACATAAAACAATAGGTCGTCCGCAAAGGCCGCTACCTTATGTTCTATATTTTCTATCTGGATTCCCTTTACCGCTCCACTATTCCTTATTATTGACAACAAGGGTTCCAGTGTCAAAACGTACAACAGGGGGGACAATGGGCAGCCCTGTCTTGTTCCATTGGACATCCCAATGGATTCCGACCTCTCCCCATTTACCGTAATGATTGCGGTGGGCTCCCTATATAATTTACCTATCCACTCCCGCATTCTCTCTCCGATCCCCAGCACTTCCAAGTTGTCCATCATAAAGCCCCAGTCCACTCTATCAAACGCCTTTTCGGCATCAATTGACAAGAGCACCACCGGGGCTTTTCCTTTTCTACTTTTCTGAATAAGCATTAAAGTTCTCAACCCGTTGTCTCTACCCTCTCTCCCTGGGACAAAGCCCACCTGATCTCCATGGATCCATTCAGGCATTAGTTCTTTCAGCCTGTTTGCTAGAACCTTTGCGTACAACTTGGTATCAGTGTTCAATAATGAAATTGGTCTATAGCTAGAGCACTGAGAAGGATCTTTTCCCTCCTTATGAATGAGAACTACATGGGCCTGAAGGGATTCCCTCCTCCCCTCCATCCCACCTCCCAAGTCATTCATATACTTCTTCAGCTTCGGTAACAGTAATTCACTAAATTTTTTATAGTACTTAACTGTATAACCATCCGGGCCAGGGCTTTTCCCACCCCCTGTACTTCTTAATGCTGCTTCTATTTCTTCCTGGGAAATTTCCGCGTCCAAGGAATTCAATTGTGTTTCACTGAGCTTAGGTAATCCCGCATTTTTTAAATATATCATCCTTTTTTCGTTAATACCTTCTCTAATTTCTTTTGGTGCACCTTGATGACTAATGTTATATAACTTTCTATAATACTCCGTGAATACTTTAATAATTTCTTTAGTTGAGTGGACCAACTCCCCCTTAGGACTTTTTATCTTTTCTATATAATTCCTGTTTTTCTTTTTATTCACGGCTCTCATTAAGTATTTTCCTGGTCTATCTCCCCATCTATATCTTTCACTTAATACTTTGTTATATACTCTTCTCCTCTCCTCTTCCATCAGTCTCTCTAGCTCGTCTTTTTTATCCTTTAACTTCTGTCTTGTTTCTATTGTTATTTTTTTCTTCTTATGTATCTGCTCCAAGTCCAGGATTTCCTTTAGGAGTCCACTAACCCTCTCTCTCTTCTTTCTTTTTTCTTCCTTGCTCCCATCGCAATCAAGATTCCTCTTATATATACCTTATGGCTTTCCCATACTGTAGCTGTCGATACTTCCTCTGTCTCATTCTCCTTGAAATATACTTTAATCTCTTCCCTGATCTTCTGCGCAATAACCTCATCCAAGAGAAGAGCCTCATTTAACCTCCATCCTAAGCCTCCCGTCCACCTTCTTCCCCATCCTATTTTCATTATGACAGGGGCATGATCCGAGAAAGTTCTTGTCTCTATTTCTATTTTAACCAACAGTTCAATGAGTCGATGATCTATCAAAAAGTAATCCAGTCTCGAGTATATCTCATGTGCATTAGAGAAGAAGGTATAGTCTATGTCTTTCATATGCATTATTCTCCAGGAGTCCACCAGTTGGTACTCGTGGATCACCTTCTTCAAAGCTCTCAGAGACCTACCCCCCTCTCTCTGCACAAGGGAGGTTGCATCCTTTTGTGGGTCCATACAAAGATTTAAATCTCCTGCTATAAT